CCTCCCCCTGCCCCTCTACACACAAAACCCAACACACACCACACACACACACACACACACATAACCCCCACATACACACACTCTGTACATAAACACACACCACACATAGCACACACACACCACATACACACACATTCCCCACATACATATACTTACATATCACACACACACACACAAATTCCCTCCATCCCCACCTTCTTCCCAGAGGTTCTGAATCCTGCCCGGTCTTCCAGCTCAAGCCCATGGCCTTGGTGACAACCCCCAGGGGCCACTCTCTCTGTTAACTTCCTGAAGCTCTGATGGCCTGTCCCTCTCACCTGCCACATGCCTTTTGAATTTTAATCATGGGTACTTGGTAGAATTTTGGCTGTGAGCTGAAGGAGAGCCTGCCCCTGGTCAAACGTTGCTCAGAAGAGACACCAGAGAAGGGGCAAAGCCCACGTTCCTGGGGCGCCTTCCCCTGGTTTCAATGCGGAGCACATGGCTTCGTCCACGCACAGAAACACTTTCAATGACTCGTGCTTGGTGCCAGGCCTCTCACTCCTGCAGACGGTGGATATGAGAATCATCTTGTTGAGCAACATTTCGCATCTTTTGTAAAACTGCAGTTGACAACATCCTTCACTACGTCACTCCGTGTCCTTTATATGAAGGTCCTCGCAATAAATTCTGGTTTGTGTTTTGTTCCAGAAGAAATTCTATTTCTGCAGATAAATTAATGACTATGCTTCCTGTTGTCAGAAAATGAAAACCGTGTAACTCTGGGCGCTCCTCTTTCTGCCTAGTGGCTAGATGAGAAACAGTCAGATTTATTGCCAGTAATCTGCTCCGCTGTGGGGTCCGAAGGCACTTACTGCTTCCACTTCTTTTAAATGGACTTATTTTATTTTATGTGCAAATGTCTCATCACACTTTTGCAAGATGTGTGAGTCTGGGAATCATCGGGGGAAGCATGGATTTAGCCTGTTTACTGCCCGTGCTGGCTGCTCGGGGTACAGAGATGAATTTGGCGGCGCCCAGCTTTCCAGGAGCTCACATCTTAGTGTGGAGAAGAACTATGGAAAGCAATAATTACCAAACAGGGTTGGTGCTTCAACAGAGGTGTGTGAGGCGGAGAACAAATCAGGCTGGGGAGGAGGGGGTAAGCCAGGCCTCATGGGAGACGTCAAGGTTGACTTGGTTTGGGGCTTGGCGGGAAGAAGACAGTGGATAGAGTAATATATGTGCCTAAACCTGAACTTAAAGAGTTAGCTTTTTAATGTATACATCCCCTTGGGCTACGTTCCCTCTGAGGGCAGGCACTGGCTCCCTGTCCCTCCATGGGCCCTGAGCCCGGGGCGGAGGGCAGTACAGGGAAGCAGCTATAGCACGGGCTAGGAGCTGCGTCTGCGTCTGCAGCCTTAGTGGGACAAAGGTGGGTAGGTCACGTAATCCCTCTGGGCATTAAATGTAAAGTCAGGGTACTAGTAGTCTCTCCCAAAAGGGGATTTCAAGAGCATTAAAGAAGAAAACACACGTAAAGAGCTTAGAATCATGCCTGGCACACGGTGAGGTACTCAAGCAACATTTGCTGGTTGGTCCCATCTGTATTACCAACAGCACTTTACTATTTAGGGTAGCCAGTACAATAAAGAGGGAAAAACCCAGAACTGAATTCAGCAAAGCACTCTCAACTCAGCTAGCTGGATCTAGTTCAATTAGAACCATCTCCAAATGATTCCTGATTGAGAAATAATATCGTTTCGTTGTTGCCTGAAACAGTGTGTGGGGTTAAGCCCTACTCTAAGTCCACCAGCCACTTTTATTTCTTGATGATATTCTTAGGACTGGTCACTGATGTTTTTCTTAAAGGACCCCCCACCCCTGCCCACTCTGGCTGTCACATCGAGGGGGCCTACTGGGCCCAGTGCTTCTTCTGCATCACTCTGTCTCTGTTGGTTTCTCTGTTCATTGACTTTCAAAAAGACAGAGCTTCCTCAGGTAGGCAGTGAATTAAGAGAGAGCCTGCTGCATGTAATCTGGATTTTCAGCCAGGAAGGGGAATGGAAGTCTGCATAAGAGCACATACGTTTGTAAACGGACTACACTTCAATGAAAAAAAAAAAAGCAAAAAAAAAAAGCACACATACAGGCATAGAAATGGTCTTTCAACGGTTGCTTATCTGTATGCCAGTGGTGGTGGTCAACGCAACACCTAGGAAAAAAGCCCCAGTTTATAATCATATTTGCCAATTTCCCTGGTGTAAATACTCCCCCTCTGACTGATTGCAAGAGGCTGGTGTGATGTCCCTGAGTATGGATTTGGGAAGAGAGGCACAGAAGACAGCCTGAGACCTGGTTTCCAAGAGAGAGACGCAGGAGTTGTAAGGAACGTCACGGGGAGAGATAATATAAAATGTGGTAAATTCATAAGGAAGTGATACAATTTAAGTATTTGTTACCATTGTTTTTAAGTATAATTCATTGTAAGCTTATATAACTTAACTTTTATTTGCCCGTGGCTCCCCAGCCTCCTGAAATGGTCTCGCTCGCTGTCCTGCTGTGGGCCGAGCCGGCGCCTGCATGTCCCTGGATCTGGTCCCCCTACAGCGATATACCGCCTCTTCCACATGGCACCTCTCACCTCACCAGTAAATCCTTGCTCCTCAGACATACGAGATTACCTTTCTGCACATTTTCTTGGGCGTATGCCTACTCATACTGAGACACCTTCTTATGCAAAATCCCTGAGAAACCCTCTCCTGCTCAGACCTGCTCATTAGTCCTGCCCTCCCCACTGCCACCCTCCTTGCCCCCCAAAAAACCCAAACCCAACCAACCAACCCCACCTACATTTTCATGGAAACTTAGGAACATGGAGGCAAAAGAAAGAAATGGTACCAAAGGGAATGCTTCAAAGGGAGGGTGAGGGGAGGAGGAGAAGCAAAGGAACAGAACACAGAGGGGAAGGGCTACCACACAGACAAAAACCCCAGAGATGGATGGACTGGGCAGGTGTGGTCACTGCCTCACTCCTCACTGGAGCCCACACTGTGAACAGAACACCAGGAAGCCAGACACACTGAGTGAGTCGTTTTTGGTCTCACAGAGCCGTGGGTCCCGGCACAGCCCCAGGGCTAGTCTGAAGGGGCAGGGTAAAGGCAGGAAAGGGCTCTGTAAGAGGGCTGCAGTGGGAGCTTTCTCTCCACAGGAAGAAGTCCCTCCCGAAACGCGGTCGTCTGGGACACATGCGCCCCGGCGGGTCCCCGTCACACAAGCTGCTAAGGTATTTGGATAGCAGCATGGCATCTGATCTCCAAGTGGCAGCTGGGAGACGGTAACACTTCTCTAATTGGGCTAGTATGCTTTTAAAAGAAATAGGTATTTCAAATGCTCTTAATTAGACTTTCAGCCAAAGTGCTTTCTGTTTGAAGTTTGCCAATTACTTAGGTGAAGCTGGCCCTGCTGAATCTGACACCCGCCATGCTTCAGAAGAAGGCTCCCAGAGAGGTGGCCAGAGTGAATTAAGGAGGAGTCTGCAGCTGAAGCCATGAAGCAGGGTCAGGACGGGGTCAGAGAGGATGGAGCCCCTCTTGGCCCCAAAGCCGTGGAAATGGCTCCCCAGGCCCTAGAGCAGGACCGCCCTTGGAATTATTTGAGTGCTGTTTTGCACCTAATTGTTTCCATTCAACAAGAGAAGAGGCCAGAAGGCAACCCTCAGGGGCACCTCCCCATCAGTGACCTACGTGTCAGGCTTCCCAACAGAGGCCACGGTGCCCTTCCCATGCCCGGCCCTACGTGTCAGGGCCCTGGGGAGCCCTCGCTGCATGTTGGAGAAGGCGCGCGGCAGGCCTCAGCTCACAGCCCAGCCCAGGTCTCTGGAGTTGGGATGGCAGGCCTGGCGCGGTTGCCTGACCCCGCAGTCCCGGGGCCTACAGGGGACAGCTCAAGCTCCGTCAGCGTGTCTTAGGCTTCCTGGTTCTAGGTTTCTCACACAATCAGTAGTTAGTCAGATATTATTATTGTTACGACTGAAACCAAAAACCCACCTTCCCAGTAATCCAAGTTACTAGGGTGGAATGGAGTCTCCTCCTGACAGTGGGGCTCAAATCCATTTCCCCCTTGAGATCCTGGATGCAGCATTTCTCCAACTGCATGTCATTCAAGGGGCCAGGCCATCTCGAGGGGAGCCCCGCTGTTGAGAATACATGGACTGCTAGATCCCAGGCTAGCTGGAGAGAACACGTGCTGTCCCGCCCAGGAGACCAGCTCCACCAGCCTTCCAGGAGCTGCACACTCCTCCGAGGTGATTTCCTGGGGTCACGAATCAAAAGGAGACATTTTCTGCAAGTGCCCACTGCCTGCCAGGTGCCAAGGGCCTCTTAGACTATCACTCCGTTGGCTGAATGTTTGTATTATGAATGTATTAAGTAGGTCCATCATTGCTGTGGGCAGTAAACAGCATGGTGACTAACAGCACCCAGTTTGGACTCAGAGACCTGGGTTCACGTCCTAGTTTCAACACTTACTAACCTTGTGACCTTGAGCAAGTCATTGAATGGCCTTCATCTGGAAAATGCACTTATCTCTTAGGATTGCTGGGGGTAAACGGAGCCATGCGCATAAAGCAGTCAGTGCTTAGAGGTAGTCCAGCCACTGGTGGCTGTTTTCATCACTAGTCATGGTTCTAGAAAGCTCAGAGTAGGACCCTGAGGAGCTGGGACAGAGGGGGTGAATTTAGGTAGGGGTGTGGGGTGGAAGAGGTCAGGAGGATGAGGCAGCAGTGGGGAGGATGGGGGGCCAGGTGCTGACAGCCGGAATCAAGCACACAGGTTGGGGAGCCTGGTCCCAGAGAGGAGGGGCTTCCAAAGAAAGCTGCCCTGACAGCAAACCTTCCCACCCCACCCCGTAACCTTCCCGGGGGCTTGGGATGGGCGTCCTCCAGCTGCGTGTGGGTTCCCCAGAACAGATCGGCTTGCGTTACCTTCCCCTTCCTCCTGCAGGCTCCATGTGGTACCCACCTAGAGCTACCTGCTGCACGTGCCTCTGGGTGATTTCTTCCTTCAGGCGACCTGCCAAAGACACAAAGGAAACCCTAGTGAGTTTTCAGTGGGCTGGAGGAAGACGGCCTCAGAAGCATGAGGCGAGCTAAAAAAATTAGGTAGAGTGAAAAAGACAAAGGTGGGCATAGCTTCCAAGAAGAGCCCTTCCATGCCCTGGATTGTGCTGGAAGAAGGGCCTGCAAAGCCTGGGGTCCTGGCACATCAAGGCAGATACACACTTCATGTCTGGATTCAATCAACTTGCCTTCAATTGTCTTAGTCTGTCACTCACAATCTCTGCTAGAGCTCTAGTCTCTTAAATCATTCTGTCCATTATTAATGAAGGAGGAGGCAAGATTTGATCTTTTAATAATTTATAGGGCCACCTTTAAATCCACTTCTTTATTTTAAGCTGTAAGAAACTGTGTCAAACAAAGAAGATGGTGGTTTTAGTTGACGATAACCTTCCTATGAACACAGCAGTTGATCTGGTATGAAACACCTGTAATTCCATGTTGCGTTAACGAAGATGCAGTGTGTAGATCAAGGGAGGTGAGAGCTCCACGGGGCTTCACAGTGGTCAGACCACAGTTGCTATTTGTTCTAGGAGCTACTTTTTGTAAGGAACATTAGTAAAATTGCAAATATTTAGGAGATGGCAACTGGGATGGTGAGGGGTCTGAAACCACGCCAAATGAGAAATAGTGACTTGAGACGTTTAGACAGGGAGTAATTACTTGGAGGTATAGAGATAGCAGCCATCTTTAAAAATCTAAACGTTGTCATGTGGATGAGAAAACAGATTTTTCTTGTCCTACAGCTGAGGGTAAGAGTCAAGACAAATGGAGGCAGACCTGGGGCTCAATGAGGAAGAAACAGCTCACCATGAGGACTGTCTCAATGTGGATTAAATTGTCTCTGAATGGAGTAACCCTCCTGGCAAAGCAGTGAGCCCCTTTGGGAAAGTGCTCGAGCAGAAGCTGGGCAGCCCTCTGTTGGGCTGTTGGATGCAGAACTCCTGCCCTGGGCAGCAGCTGGGATGACACACTCTCCAGGCTTCCTCTGTCTCTAAAACTCTGTGATGTCGTGCTTGAGGGGTGGGTGACACAGCAGCCCGGGGGTTTGTTTATGTCCAAGGGCTCCGCACACTTGTCATGATGTCAGCGCGGTCTGTACCGCATGTCCCACTTGGGAGATGAGATCAGGCCATGAGGGATGCTGAGAAAGCCTGGGAACTTCATTGCTCCCTTGCTAGTATATTTCTTTCCTTGTATAAAGTACATTCTATGCCTCAAAGGCTACAGCTGAACTGAGTTTTCAGAAGATGAGCAGACAGTGAAGCAGTCACACGAAACCTCACTCCCTGAAAGTCCAGGGCACTCCTAGAACATTCTCACTGAGAGGGATGGCAGAGGCCATTCAGTTTAACTTCCCACCTGATTTAGGAATCCCTTCTACAAAATGAAATGGTCATTTCATCTCTGCTCCACTGATTAAATAGTATGGAAGGAATTACTGATCTGTACTGATGCCTGCTTCCCTGTAACTCTCCGATTTGGACCTGGCCTGTTCTCTGGAACAGCACAGAGAAAGGATCCTCTCTCACTAGCAGTGAGACCCCCCTCACACGTCGGAGGATGCTATGGTTTCTCCGCTTAGACTTGTCCTCTCTGGGCTAAGAATCACCAGTTCCTCAGCTCCCCTGGGAGGCCGCTGTCTCCAGGTGCATCATAGTGCAAGTCTGCCTTGCCTTCCACATGTCCCCACTGGAGAGGACCATGCACAGAGAGGAAGCTAAGAATTGGGCAGAAGCAATAGTCACACCATAATTCCAAGGAGGGGAGAGAGACAACTTAGGGAAAGTGATGGGAGGAAGGCGGGGAGGTGGAAACTCAGCCTAAGGATGAGTATTGGCTGAGCCTGCAGCCAATGAGACTGGAAAGCCGGGCCTGTCTTCCCAACTCTGAGCCACAGGACCCTACTGTCTGTACACGCAGAGTGAAGAGGTTTGGGGCCCAGGGGTGGTGCTGGGCTGAAACTCCAGTCTGTGGCAAACACCGCTGACTTGATTTTTAAAGAGGCACGGCATGCACATTCTTCAAATAGGAAATAGTGCTGTGACAAATACAGCACACCATTTGGACACACCTCTTCATTTCCAGGAGGTCATCAAGGGCTTTCTCACGCCCACTGTAGGGAGCGCTACTGCTGCCTTGGTGCCTGGCTGGCTTCCTGGGTATCTGGCACAGGTGTCTTGCACCGTGAGCCTCTTATGTGCCTGGTCCCTGCTTCCTAATGAGACTGGACAGTGACAGCTCCTTTAGAGCACACCCTGGGCTGCCTTCTTCCCTGGAAAACTACCTTCCTGATAACAAGCCTCCCCACCGAAGAGCATCCTCGACAGCTGGCCTCCCTGACCACATGCCTCCCCAGCAACGTGCCTCTCAGTAGGGTCTCAGCCTAGGATGTCACAGCTTCCTCTGCTCCTGGCGGAATGCCCAGGCTCCCCTTCCCAAATCTTGGGGAAGCTATTTGGGAATGACAGGGTTAAGCATTCTCCGTAACTCCAGACTGGGAAATGCTGCTCATGTAAATAAACAGGGGAGTTTTGCCACTAAGACTGAACATTCTGTAAACTATGCAAACATAGATACCTACTCCCAGAACATCGAGCCATCCCAGGGGACAAAAGATGGGTCATTATAATGCTGCATATTGATAAAGGTAGGTTTAAAATACGTTTAGTTGATGCTCAGTTTTGGCCAGTTGGCCAACATCTCCCACCACATGGCCATTTTTGTTTTTGAGATCTTCCCAAACAAGCTTCTACAAATAGCCTTGTGGCTGATCCCTAACTGCGTCTTCCAACAGAGCCATTCTTCATGTGAAGATAACCGCCTCTGCAGTCACTGGATCTTGCAGCTCCACAGGTTTTGGCAGAAGAAGGAGTTGAGGGGGGACTGCAGAACTCACTCAGCATGCAGCTCGCTGTCATTAGCACGGTGATAAATTTGCTGGTTTTGGCCTGGGTTCCTGGACCCATCCCTGTCCTGAGGTATGGAAAAGAGATGAAACGGAAAAAGAACTCCCAGCCCAAGGCAGAGATGGTCTGGGAGGGAAGCCGGGAAGGGGAGGAGAGCTCTGCTTGTAGGAGAACGGTGGTAATTAGTAATTCTGTCTCCAGTAATTTACAACAGTGCAGGCTACAGACACCTCTCCCTTCCGGATTCATTAGCTGACAGACTGGGGGCAGCAGCAGGGGACATGGGTACGCAGAGCCTGCATCGACCCATAGGGAGCCCCCTCCAGAAGAGATGCATGACCTTAAGGACAGCCACGTGCAGGGTATGTGGAGGCGGTGCACTGCGTGGTGTATAGTTTCTTTGTACAAAGTGGTAGTTCATATGAAAGGTATTATCATCATGCAGAAGCAAAACTCATTTTTTTACACTGATACTCTGTTTTCTGGATGAAACAAGTTTCCTTAAGTGTCACACTATTTTGCATGCATGTTAGTTTGAGATTCCTCACCAAGCAAAAGCTACTTAGAGGGTTCAGAGCAGAGCCCACCATTGATGACTCCTCTAGGACAGCTGCTGGAGCTGCTCGTGCAGCTTCTGTGTGATGTGGTGCTGATGCTACTATCAAGCAGTACCTGATCACTGCTCCTCCACTCTGTGTGAAGCTCTGTGTTCTAAGTGCGGTGGAATACACAGACTGGTGGAAGACTCTGTCCTAGCTCAAGAAAGTTAGCCTGGGGTGGGGGACGGCACATAGGTGGCCCACGTGCTCTTCGTTTGAAAAGCTGAACCCACGGCTGACCTTGGTCCTCTGTCATGGAAGGTTTGCTTTCCTGCTGAGCCTGAGTCTGGCTCTTCAACCCAGCACTTTGGCAGCTCTAACCAGTCACTTGGAGCTGGATCTGAGATGAGGTAAACCTCTTGGCCATTTTGGTTGTACTAGAAAGTAATTACAAATGTGTCAGTAGATAAAGTTCAAATCCCAACTCTGCTAGTTCCTAGTAGGGCAAGTTACTTAACATCTCTAAGCCTCAATTTTGTCATTTGAAAAAAATGGGAATCATAATATAACTCAGAATATCGGCTTTACTATATCTCAATACTCTTGGGTGGATCAAGAGGTAACACACTAGCATATATGACACATGGCACTAGTTTTAGGCAGCAAGCCACTTGCAGACATACTGAAAGGATGCTGTATTCACAAGGTGACAGGTCCTGAAGGGCAAGTGCCTACACGTCAATCAGGAGGGAAGGGTGGGTTAGTGGCATCAGGAAAGGCATCATCACTAAGGCTGAGAACTGAGTGCATTCTGAGAAGAGCAGAGGGGTTAAGGTGGGGTTGGGAAACGCATTCCAGTCAAAGAGAACTGTTGGAGCAAGAGGGTGAGGAAGGTACACGTTGGTTTGGGACAGGGGCTGGAAGGGACGGCTTGAATGGAGGAGCAGGGCTTGGGGGGAGATGGAGTTCTATTTATACTCGATTCCAGGGTCCTAGATAATTACCAACGGCTCTGGACCCAGGGAAAAATCTCTTCTTCTGTTTGACTGCACTGCTATTGTATCCCAGGACAAGCAAATTAAAATAAACTTCAGTAGCAGGACTGGGTGTGGGAAGAACACACAGAGTGTTTCCTGCCTGAGGGGGAGGGGCCCCTTTGAAAGGGAAGGTCTAGTTCGTGATTCTCAATTTGGAGCGTGGATTCTGGCTGTGATGTGATTTCTCTGTACTCTAAACAGAGGATCGTGATTACCAAAGGCTGGATTCCCTAAGCTGCCTAGAAGGCTGTTTGTAAAAAGCATGGGCCTAGCATAAATTAAGTGTGCAATCCCTAGATGAATTTCCAGTAAACAGGAGGATGCACATCATTTGAAGCCTTAAAATCAGGCATATTCATCTTCTCCTTGCTAATGAGTATTTCATCAGGCTTTATCTAAACTCATTCGTATAATGTGAAAAATCTATTGAGGCAGGAATCAACTCTTTCCCACCATAGCAATGGTGGGTAA